TTTATTATTTTATTATTTTTTATTTTTTTAATTTATTAAATTGTTTGATAAAAAATTAAAAAATATCAAGGTTGTAAATAACGTAAGGCGTGACTTGGCGGCAATGTCAAACCTCAAGCTTTTCCGTGGCTTGGCGAGTCACGTCGTTTGTAAGGCGTGACTTAAGGCGTCAATTTTGTATATAATTCATATTTTTATATGTATTTTCCAAGGTTCTAAAAAGCTCGCCATGGCTCCGTCATGACGCGCCATGACTCCAAGGCTTGTATGTGCCGCCAAACTTTACCAAAACGCCAACTTGACTCATATATGTGTATATAAATTAACAATAGTAGAAAATACATATAAAAATATGAATTATATACAAAATTGCCGTCTTAAGTCACGCCTTACAAACGACGTGACTCGCCAAGGCTCGAAAAAACTTGAGGCTTGATATTGTCGCCAAGTCACGCCTTACGTTATTTAGAACCTTGGTATTTTCTACTATTATTCATTTTTATACACATATATGAGTGGCTTTTTGGTAAAGCTTGCCGGCACATACAGTCTTGAAGACATGAAAGGGGAGCTTTTTAGAACCTTCAAAAATATACATAAATAAGTTCTTCAGAAACACGGTTAAAAACTCCTTTATATCTCTCCGGGAAAGTCTATGAAGTAAAAGGGAAAAACCTAATCTGCTGATCGAAAATGGCGGAAGGAGAGGCACGGGTCTGAGTTCTGAGTGAGTTGGAGCATGTATCCAAGTTACGGTTCAAGAAACCCCATTTATTGAGCTCTCTCGGATTAGATTTCTTTGTGTTCTTTACAAAACAAATTCCGTGAAAATGGCGGAAGGAGACAGCGATTGGGAAATACATCTAAGAACATTATCTTCGAACGCCAGAGACTCCAGTTTCTCCAATGATCCCGCTTCATATCCTTCCCTTCTTCGTTCTGTAACTCCCTTTTCAATCTTTTTACATTTGTCTGTGAATCTTTTCTAAAGTTATTGTTTTCTTCATTACCCTAATCAATTAAACTGCTTTCCAATTCGATAATATACTTATTGTAGGTAAGGAAGCTGACCCAGTTGTGTAAAAGTGAAAATTCCGAGAATCTGATAGCTAGGGTTTATCCCCAACTCAATAAGATCTTTCAACGTTCTGTTTCTTCTATTTCTCACTCTCGATCCCCTTCTGGACTACTGCTATTGGTAAATCATCTTTCAATTTCTCTTCCCCCCTTTTCCTTCCACTTCTAATCAAACTCACTAACACCTTTCAATTTTCAGGCCATTCTTCAATTTTTCATTGATTACGGAGAATTTGTTCTACATGACGCCGATCCTAGCCTCCGTACTTTCTTCCGTTCATGCTTAAGCCGGTAAGATACACCACCATTTCGATTCCGAAAGCAAGCTCTAAATAATTCAATAATTAAGTTAAAATCGCCATTGACTGCAGTGAGTTTGCAGACCCTGAAGTTGCCGAAGCAACTCTAGACTTTCTAATCATAAACAAGAAGAAAATCTTACTTGCATTTCCTACTTTACTCCCTCAGGTACATTATAATCTCAAAATCCAAATCTTTCACTTTTTCTACAATTACATTTTTTCTTTTTCAATCTCCACTTTCAGTTTTATCCATTGCTGCTTAAAATGATCGCATGGAATGGAGAAAAGTAAGTCCTTTTCTTTTTCTCTTCTGTAGCTTAATTCATCTGATAAATCTATAAATTAATTTGTTCACACAGATTAGAAAAACCATTCTTGAGAGTTTTTCCTGGATTGATATCTCCAGGGTCTTTTCTTCCTTTATTTATCTCACTTGTTGATCTACCAGGTAAACATCCATTTTTAATTTCTATTTAAAGTTTGATCATCGATTATGAACAATTGACATTTTTTTTTCTTATTTTAAATTTTAAATAGTATTGATTGTGGCACTGGAAAAAGTTGAAAAAAGTTCTGGACCATTAATTGGTAGCAGTATAGCTTCAATCCAAAAGAGTGCAGCTCCAGAGGTACTCTTTCTTTCTGAAACTTTTTTATATAAATTAAATATAAAAAATGTAAATAAACTTTTTACAATTTATATACAGATGTTATTAGCTCTCATGGATGAAGCATATACTGGTTCAACCATAGGAGATGGAGGGGCAGATTCGGAATCTGAGGACAATAATTCAATCACTTCAGATCCATTATTTCTTGAGCTTCTTAAAGATGAAAATGATGGACTTGCTGTATGGTAACATTACATTCTTTTTTTATTTTTTTATTAATCGATGATGTAATAATGCAATTTAAATAAATAAATAATTTTTTTTAATAAATGATATTTCAGCAACGGCATTGGACTTCTCCTGGAATGGAATCAGCATTACAGGCATCAATTTCTATTCCATCTGATAGACTAAAACAAGCATTAAAAATGGCACCTCGGCTTCTTGATGTGTATTTTTCAATAGCATTGCATGATGTCAATCAGTGTATGTATGATGTATCATTGTATATTTGTATGCCATTTTTTCCTTTTTTTTATATATAAGAAAAGTTATAAAATGTTTGATATAAAATTATAAATACTTGTTTTGTTATGCAGCTTTGAAATGTGCTTTAATCCCCATGCTTCTTGATAGAAATTCTAAACTGTTTCCTGAAAAGATCTTTTCTTATGAGGTAAGTAAATATTCTGTTTGGTTTTATAATGTTTTTGTAATTTTTTTCTTGGGTTATATTTTTTTATTTTTTTGTTATATAATATTATATAGGTGCGAAAGAGGCTTTTGAATTTCATATTAGCTGCATTTCATCAATCCCCTGAATTCGTTGCAATTCTCAAGGTATTATTCTGCAAAATATTTTTATAATTTGGTGTTTAGTATTTTTCTTATTGAATTTTTTTTTGTTTTTTTTTTTTTGTTAAAAATATTTCTCAACCATTTGTATTTGTGCAGAAGCCCATAGTAGATAGGCTTGGAGAAGCTTATGATAGTCCTGAAAAGGTAAGTGTTTTAATAAAAACTCTCCATGATGATCTTGTATACAAATACCCAAAATACCCTTCTATAGTATACAAATACCCAAAATTCCCTTCTATAGTATGTACGTTTACCCTTTAAATTATACGTAAGAAACCCAAAATACCATTCTATAATATGTAAGATCATAAGTAAAATGCCCAAAATACCCTTCTGTACCATGTATTATCAATGTATGTTTGCCTTTTAAATTAAGTCAGATACCCAAAATACCCTTCTATAATATGTACTTTTACCATTTGGATTATAAGTCCAATACCCAAAACACCCCTTCTATAGCATGTATGTTTTTCATTTACATTATAAGTTAAATACCCAAAATACCCTTCTACAACAGACGGAGTTGGCATTACAATTATGTTGGGCCATTGGGGAGCATGGAGGGGGTGGCGCATCTCACAAAGACGCAGCCCGTGAGCTATTCGAGAGCCTAGAATTACTTCTTTATGAAAATCTTTCATCAAGGTATGCCACAAATACTCTTCTTCATCAACATAAACAATATTCAAATACCCAAAATACCCTTTCTCAAATATATATACTCTTTAAGCCGTCTTGGTGTAGGAGATTCGGTTCTTGGATCAAGTAGCTCAACTGTCAGAAGATCATCGCAATCAAGGCTTCTTTGTTTCGTTGTGACCGCAATAGCAAAGATTGCAACGCACCATCGCGAAGTACTCCCGAGGGCGCGTGTGTCATTAGGCAAGGTTAGTTTAGTCTTTTATTTTTGGGGGGCAAGGGGTAGTTTGGTCATTTTACAAAGCGGTTCCGATAATTGGTTTGAACGTTATAGGTGGCTCATTCGCGTATATCGGATGCAAGGGTGTGGAAGCGAGCGCGTGATTATTTAGGGTTAATGAATGAACCCGCGATTTGTCTGTCTGTGCTGGGGCCCACAAGACCATCAAGTGGGTCCATACAGAAGCCGGGAATGATCAATTGGAGTGAAGGGAGAACAAAGATGATTGCCAATATACCGTTTTATGTTCTTGGAGGACAAGAAGGTAATTTTGGTTTTTTTATAGTAGGGTTAAATTAAATGTGAGAAATAGCAATGTACTTTTGTTAAAGACATGAATGTTGTAGTTTTTATGGGTTTCTTGTTTGATCAAATGTAGGCCCCCCTCATCATGATTTCTCTTTGATGGACATTCTTCCTGCCAAATCAGCAACTTATCGACTTTAGAGAATTGCTTTCACAACTTTATTTGGGAAATTTGTGATTTTTTTTCCTTTAATTTGCATTATTTTTAATCTATTTATGATGTATCCCATGGTTTATCTTTATCTCTCCACTACAATAAATTAGTTACTTTTGTATATTTTTCAGTTATTTTGTTGCTGGATTTATATATGATTCATGATGTTTTTCATACAACGAATACTGTTGTCATATCTAAATAAACAAAAGCTTTCAATTTTATAGATATCTTAATAGATTACCAACAATCTAAAATCTTTGTTACTTGCTGAACTAACAAATAATTTATAAAATTGGAATTATAGTTATTAGTTTGGAATGAAAAAAAAAATAAAAATCATCTGGGCTTTGTATAAAGATGAACATTTGATATCTAAATAAACAAAAGCTTTCAATTTTATAGACATCGTAATAGATCACCAACAATGTATAATCTTTGTTACTTGATGAACTGACAATCGGTTTATCTAATTGGAATTGTGGTTATTAGTTACGAACGAAAATAAATTATCTGGGTTTTGTATTTGTATAAAGTGGAACATTTTGCTAAATAGATTAAATAAAGAGAAAAAAACCATTAAAATTATTAATTCTGAAATGCGCATCCGGGGAATCGAACCCCGGTCAGTACCGTGGGAGGGTACTATGATACCACTACACTAGATGCGCTTGCTTGTTTTATTTCATTACGTTTTTATTACTAATAATACTTCCGATAATAATATATATTTTACAAACCATACGTTTCTCTTGCATCAAATATTTTTATGCTTATCCATTTCTTAGCATCGTAACATTGTTTTGGAAAGATCTTCTTCCTCCTAATGCTTTCATATCAATAAGTTCACTCTTGTTCATCAAAAAATCTTTATACCATTTTGCAGAAAGTTTTGGTCTTCTTGTTAGTGTTTCACGATCAACATAATATAATCCAAATCTCACATCGTAACCTTGTAACCATTCATAGCTGTCCATCAATGACCACACAAAATATCCACGTACATCGGCTCCGTTTCTGTCATTCAAAAGCAACATTTGTACATTCATAATTCATGATGGAAGATTTGGAATTTTGAAGTCAAATGGACAATTTTCAAAATATACAAAGTCGAAGTATCGAAATATTTATAGAGGAAACCTTAATGATTTGGCTAAAAAAGCAAGGTATTTTGAGTGGAATTCAATTCGTTTCACATCATTCGAAATCTCATGAACTCGTTCCTCGTACACATCCGGTGAAGAATACCCTGAAAAAAAAAAATACAAATTTATAGACACGAGCAATTACACATTTATAATCTATTCAATCTGAAACACACATCCATTACCATTTTCAGTAATAAACATGGGTTTATTATTGTACCGAATCTTGATATGGTTAACAATTTCCTCCATGCCTCTAGGAACAACGAAAAATACTTCTAAACCCGTCTATTTGCAAAATAAAGATAAACATGTTATTATCAATTAAAAAGACACAATCTCATAATAAAAAGCATTATATCCTACACATTCACCGATCAACACGCCATCACGCTCTCCCATACATAGTTGAGTAATGGTTGATGCCAATAAAATCAATACTGTTCATCAAAAGATTCTTTTCTTCCAGGGAGAAACTTGGTAATCGACTTCCAAGATATTTGTGCATTTCTTCGGGGTAGTCTCCATATATCAAAGGATCAAGTACCCTATTTAATAGATAAGAAGTTGAACTAAGATCATATATATTTTTCTCTTGTTTTTCATACGTTCATGAACATTACCAGCCAATATTGAAGGCAAATGCCCTCTCAGCAGCCTCACGATCAAGATCCGTATTTGTTAGTGGTTCGTACATTAAACAACTCACAACAATTCCGATCGATCCACCATGTTTTGGCTGCACACATAATTATACATTAGTCCAATAAGTCCATAGGGTTCAACACTTTCATTGCATCGAAAAAAATTTAGACAAAATTCATGACAAATATAAATTATTGCCTGATAAATATCATGATATAGCTTTGTTGCTTTGCCATTAGCCAACAACATGTTATGCATAACAATGAGAGGCTCCACATCAGAGTTTCCAGCCAGACAGTTGCCAAAGGGCTCTGAACAACGAGCCGGTGGAAAATCCCCGCTTTCATAAGCGGCGTTTGTGAATAAGTTTGGTTCGTTGATTGTGATCCAGTACTTCACTCGGTCTCCAAAATATTTGTAACAAGTTTCTGCCAAAAGTACAAACTCTTCCCTAACAAAAGTACAAAGTATAAATATATGCTAAAAAGCAGCAGAGAAAAACTGATGTGACAATGAAAATTAATGTTTTAGCAGTACTGCATCTCGGGGTTTAGCCAAGATCCATATTTCACTTCAAGTTCTTGAGGAAAATCAAAATGGTGAATCGTCACAAATGGCTCGATTCCTGTATCATGAAAGTAAAAATTAATGAGTTAATAATATGAAATCATTTGATCATGCATTATTTAACTTTTAAACCATAGCACCTTTGAGAATTAGATTGTCTATGATCTTGTTATCGAACGTGATTCCTGCAGGATTAACTTCACCCGACTTTCCTCTTGGTAGAATTCTAGCCCATGAAATCGAAAATCGGTATGCTTTTATACCAAGGGAATGCATCATATCAATATCTTCCTATGATATTAAAAAAAAACAAATAATAAACAAAAAATAATCAAAATAAAGAATGTTTTCTGCATATAAAAGTTCCAAATTAGATAGATGAACTGAAGTTTAACCAAGAAGAGATGATAATGATCGTCTGCAACATCTCCATTTTCTCCACATCCTACTAATCAATAACCATGGATTAATGACTAGAAAGTAGAAATTACTAAAACCATTTTGATGTGAAATCAGGAAATTTATGATATTAACCTACGGAATGACAAAATGCATCCCAGTTGCTTAAAGATTTGCCATCCTCAAGATAGGCTCCTTCAACCTACAAATATTCATCATGAGTTAAGTGATAAATAGCTATGATCATGAGCAAGAAAGAGGGGATGATCGACTTGGTAGGATGAAGTAGCTGCTCCAAAGAGAAACCCATCTGGAAAATCTGATCTTTTGATATGGTGCTCTTCGTTTCCTTCCATTTTGAAGGATCCATGACCATTGTTGGAGGCCTCAAGAACAAGAGCACAAACACAGATGATAAACAATAAGAGAAAAATGGAGGGTGATTTTGATTTCATTTTCATACTGGAACACTGAGGGAAATCTCCCCTTCATCAATATCGTCAAAGATTATGCCATCTAATAGTAATAAACTTAACCACAAACTCAGTTTTCATGCCAAAATCAATTGTTGACACAATTTTCATGCAAAAATAAGTTTTAACTTTTAAATTAGCTTAATGCATTATGAAACACATGTTTTAAATAAAGAAATTTCACCGGATGTGTTACAGTTTGTAAGCTTAACAAAAAATGACTAACTAAAGCATTGTTTTAATTTATGTATACATAAACAAGTTTCGTATGCAACAAAATGTTTTATTAATTGATGAACTAACAATCACTTGTCGAATTTACATTGCGTTAATTATTTTGATTTTATTTAAGTTTCAAGTCAAAAAGGCCGGTGTAAATCAAAATCGTATTAAAATGGGTTTTGTATTAAGATGAACATTTTATAATATGCTAAATAATAACTTTTGAAAAAAAGAACATATGTTAAAAAAGTAGGCATGCGCATCCGGGGAATCGAACCCCGGTCAGTACCGTGGGAGGGTACTATGATACCACTACACTAGATGCGCTTTGATGACAATGTGTACCTTATGAAGGTTAATAAATTCAATTCAACGAATTTTATTACCATTTTCGGAAGTTAAATAGTTTTTGTAACTTTTTTAAATTCAATCAACAAAGTGAGTAATTGTTTATTGTAAAAGTTTAACATTGATTTATTTTTTACCAAGTTTAAACTTCTTCAAAAAATAATTTAAATTGGGTGGTCATTGTTCTTGAGTAAGTCCTCTTGCATCTAATAGATCATTTTCATAAGCACAAAAATTATGCCGATAGAAAATGCAAATACATAGTCCAAAATCCATCTTGCATTTATAAGGAGTGTGTAAAAATAAGTTTGAATTAACAGAACTGAAATATGAATAAAAAAATTAACCGGATCAAACAAAACGAATTAGTGCCAAGTATGTTATATTCACTTTATATTTATCAAGTTTTTGGGAAAACAATTTTTGTCATTGTTTCATTCCGAATGATTAAAAGTATCTAGAAACTCAAACCAAAATATCAATTCTTCTCTTTTCTATGAATGACAAAAATTCTTATACCTAAGGGAATATGATACCCAAACCCGCTTTAATAGAAATCCTCAAATTAATCGGATATGGCTACATAGGATATGGATACATGGGATATGGATAATCACCGAATTAAAAGACATGTATGAGGATGTGGATGGGATACTCTTGGTCTCCGACCCCAATCTCGATACATATATATATATATATATATATATATATATATATATATATATATATATATATATATATATATATAATATGTAAAAAATAATATAATTACACGACAATATTAAGGTTGCAGGTAGTTATCTATATCTTATATTAGCTTTATCTAGCTTAAGAAGACTCTTGTTGAGTTGTCGAAAACACTGCATTTCAAGGCCATATGACATGTGTAATTCTACGCTATTTGCGAAAAATAACATGTGGTAAGGGGTCATTTTCTAACATGTCGTTCGGTTGGGAATGATTCTTCCATGGGTTGCGGTTACATCTTATGTTTGTCCGTTTATGGCAACGTTTGATCTTTCGATTGCCATTGTAACCAGTCGTTTTCCGGTGTATAAATAAGATTTCTTAGATAATATGTTCAACAAATTATTTGTTTATTCTCATTTATCTGTATAGTTGTTGAGTTGTGAGTTTTCTTATTGATTTGTTATTTTGTGTCAAAATTAAACAATATTGCTTGTTGAGGTATCTATTCTTTGTTGCTTTACTTTGCATTATTTGTTTGATCATGATAGAGAAATGTCTTTATGGTACGGATGAGGGTAACTTGATAGGGAGGTTCAATAGATTGCTCAAACGATGTAACGCCCTGATTATCAGGTATTGATAATATTACTTTAAATTTCAAGTTTCAAGGTCTACTCGACGAGTGGGTGCCCTGACTCGTCGAGTAGGAGCGGGATTGGGCCACGTATTTAAGTGACCAACTCGCCGCGTCGGAAGAGTGACTCGACGAGTTGGAGCTGGAGGGTGAAACCCTAATCCCCAAGGTTTTGCACCCTATTTAAAGGATCCTTTGCCCCCTTAGCCTTCCCTTACAGCCCCTGTGAGTCCAGAAACCCTAAATCTCCATTTTCTCTCCATACTTGTGTGTTTAAGCTTGAAAGGTGGATCTTGGTGAGGAAAGGCTTGAAGATCAAGAAGCTTTGAGCAAGGAACAGTTGGGGATCTGAAGTCTACCTCAGTTTATCATTATTTGAAGGTATCAAATCATCACCTTGAGCTTCTTCTAGCTAGATCCCTTTTATATTTGAGTTTTGGGACCATTTTGGGCATTTGGTGTTACATTTCGAGTGATGAACCAAGATCTGAAGTTGCAACTTCAGATCTAAGCTCATCTTGGCTCTTATCATCATAAAGTCTCAGTCTTTAGCATGTTGGTGAAGCTCTTTTGCCTAGAACCTCTTCTTTAGCTTGATTTAAGTCATTAGCACCTTGCATGCACGTAAAGTTTGCAACTTTACGTGATAAACATGCCCTAGGAGCTTGGATCTGCAGTATAGAGCCTTAGCAGGGCTTAAAAAGCATATGTATGGATGAAGGACTGAAGGGACTCGGCGAGTCGTATGAACGACTCGGCGAGTCCGATGAAGATTGCCTTAGGCTCGGTGTGTCAGACGAGTGACTCAGCGAGTTGGCAAGTTATGCAAGGAACTCGGCGAGTAGATAAGGATACTCGACGAGTTGAGGTCAACATGGACTGTTGACCGTGACAGTTGACTTTGACTTCGACCAATGGTTGACCAGTTGACTTCTGAGGGTATTTTGGTAAATTGAATATTGATAGCAAAGGACATTGGTGAATATAGGTGTTGGAGTTGGAGCTACATCTGGAGGAGTTTGACACTACCTTCCGAGCTACTTGCGAGGTGAGTTATCCTTATCATACTCAAGGGTCAAAGGCACCAAGGCCGACCCTTTGGATTTGTTATCTGGTTACGTTATCCTAGTATGATCTGTTAGATCGGTATCCTAGAGGGTAGGATAGTATTATATGGTATGTGGTAAGACCTGTTAGACCGGTATCCTAGAGGGTAGGATAATATTATATGATATGTGGTGTGATCTGTTAGATCGGCATCCTGGTAGATAGGATGGTGTCATGTGCTATGTGGTATGATCCGTTAGATCAAGTATTGTCTATAGACTGTTATGTGATTATCTGTTATATGTGCACATGTTTGTTTAGAGGTTGAGGTTTATCTGCTTTGTGTGGAGGCCAATAGACATGGGCATTCCAACCTGTAGGTTGTGGGCCATGAGTATTCCATCCAGAGGATGATTGGACTCGTATTATGTGGGCATTCCAACCTGTTGGTTGTGGGCCTGGTGTATTCCATCCCGAGGATGATTGGACCCATAGTATGTTGGCATTCCAACCGGATGGTTGAGGGCCTGGGGTATTCCAACCCGATGGTTGACTGGACCCATAGTATGTTGTTTATGATTATATGTGTATTGTTATGGCATGGGTATTTTAGGGGAACTCACTAAGCTTTCGGGCTTACAGTTTCAGTTTATTGTTTCAGGTACATCAGGGGATCGCGGCAAGGCGAAGGCGTGATCGTACATCTCCTCACTTTTTATGACTTTGTTTCTGGGCTACTCTGATATGATACATTTTGAAAACAAGTTTTGTAATGGTTAATGACTTTGGAAATGTTTTAAAAGTTTTAAATTCGCTTGAATTTTATGTGTGTTACAAGTTGGTATCAGAGCCTTGGTTTGAGTGAATTGGAGGAACACTCGTGTGACTCCAGTCTCAAATCAAGGAAAGGATTTTCAAAATGATTTTTCAAAAGGTTTTCAAAATAAGTAAAAGAGGATGCAGGGTGTATGATCAGCCGGAGCCAGTAAGTAGACCCCAAAATACCATACAAGTTATTTGATATTATGTGATATGTTAGAACAGCATGCTAGTAGTAAGATAGGGATCATCAAGAATCGTATAATAGAATTGCCTGATATTTGATGCCTTATCTTATGTAGAGTAGCTCAATTGATTGTTTGTGACTCTTTCGCGTGTGAACTAACTATTGGGTGAATACTCTAAGTCACATGCTACATGGGTTAAATGGTCTTAGGGTAAGGGATTTGGTCCTGCTGTGCAAATCTTGTCTGAGTCCAACCGTTGTGGGATTAAATATTTTAGTCTAAGATTGTTTAAGCCTTGTGGTATGTGATTCTATTCATGCAATAGTTAACTGGCACCAATGGAGGGTCATGTGGCAGTTGGTGGATGGGTGGGTAGTGAGAGGCCGGGAGGCCAGTTATGAGATATTTAGCATTCCTCTAGGAGTGAGGATTTATCGCGCGCTATGTATGTGTATATTGTAGGGTGTTGTGGTGATACTTGAGACAAATATGGGTAGGTGTGGAAGGTAGTATGGGCCCGTACTACTGAAAGCACATGACCCATACACGTATCAAGGAAGTCACAACCCCTAGGGTTTGGTTGGGAGTAGGTTCCCCGTCGTATATGCAGATTATCTGATATCTTCCTGGTATATGTTCAGTATGGTGATGGCGAATTGATTTGAGGCGGGATCCGGATCAGGATCGGGAGCGAGTGTCCAGGATAGGCCGGTATTGTCCGTCGATCAGATACAGGAGATGATTTCCGTGGAGGTTTCTCATATTTTGCAAGAAGAATTGTTCGGTGTCGTGGACCGGGTCACCGCCAGGGTGATCGCCAAGTTTGAGGAGCAAGTTGCAGCGTTGCAATCTGTGAGAGATGTTGCTACCGGGATGACTACTGGGGGAGTGCTGGTGGTGGGGTCACAACTAGGAAAGAGGAGGAGGGACTTTTCAGCAGAGGACGAAGAGTTGGAGACAGCTAACCTAAGTACTGGAAGTCAGGAGGTTCAGGAGGTGTGTGGCAAGTGTGGGGGACCCACGGACTTGCTTGT